GCTCAATACAGCTTTTACAACCTATAACACATTACCTACAGTGTACTGTAAATTCTGTGTTAACCTTCAGAGAACTTTATTTTTTAAAATGACCTAATTAGGTATCTTATTGTTTTCGTTTAAATGTGGTTACATTACGCTAGTTTTAAGGTTTACTGTAAGCCAATCAGTTACACTTATTATACATCTTCGTGTGGTTAGCATAAAGAGAACTAGAACGTCGCTCCATTAAGAGTGCCTACCTCCACCCCCCCCCCCATATATACCAAAATACAAAAATTCACGAAAACAGGCGATTTTTTCTTCATGTTCGAGGGTGTGTTTCGAGGAAAGTTTACAGACGCACGTATACAGACGTCAATCAACATTTTGGTTGCTCAACTCAAAAAGAGAACTTGTAATGTTCGTTAGAAAATGAAAAAAAAAAAATCTATATTTTATAATAATAATAATAATAGGTCAAAGTATAATAATAATAATAATAATAATAATAATAATGACATTGCATTGCATCACTGGTGCTGTGAAACAGTCACAAATGTGGGGTAGGGGACAGCCCCCCCCCCCCCCCCAGTAGAAAAACTGGGTGGGCCAATGGCCCCCTGGCTCCCCCGCTTCCGCCGCCGTTGGTCCCTCATGAATTACCGTCATGGCTCGCATGAATTGCATGCCTCGCTGGATGACTCGCTGACTCGCACTTTGGCAACCTCCCCCTATTCCAACGCAAAGAATTGGTACAGGATTTAAAGTTGGTGAAAGTGGACTTGTATAGATAGCATAGGCCTACCCATTCCAGCTTACCCATCCCAGTTCCAAAAATTAGGTAATCTGCCGGGAAACGGTACATGAACAGCATTTAAACAAATGAATGTCCTTCACTTTAGGAGTTAAAATTTTAATTGCAAGTAATCAGGGCCGGTTTGACCCGTATACCTTTGTGTGGTAATGACAATGTCGCCGACTCAGACCCCCGACATTTTGAGGGGTTTACATTAATTTATATCTTTAAATATTTTCTAAATCAATCGTAAAAAAATAAAAAATAAAGAATTGTCAAAAAATGTACATTATGCAATACAAAAACAAAGCGCATGATGTTTTCTTTATTTTTTATTTTATTTTTTTATTTTTATTTTTTTTGTGTTTTGTTTAAATATATAACCTTTTCCATCCACCTGTCAAGACAGTGTCTCTTTTTTTTTTGTTTAAAATTTATAACCTTTTCTATCCAACTGTCAGAACAATGTCTATGTCTCTTCGTAAAAACCGTCAATAATCAAATCTCAGATTCATTGCAAAAACGTCTCGATTTCAAAAATCTCCCCTTCTTATTCACTATCCAAAAGTCATAATGAAAACATTGACCCGATTCTCCGCCACAACTCTAATATTAAGCAAGCCGTACTTTAATTAAAATAGAATTAATTTAAAAATCCTTTTAGTTAATTGCATTATTATCTTGTTTTTTATTTATTGTATATAATTATTGTAAATATATTGTTGATGCGGATTTGCCCTTGATGGTACTTAGCTAATAAAATTGAATTTAATTGAATTGAATTAAAAAAATAAGAAGACGGAGCCTATTGTTTTCGGTATGTGTGTGAATATGCGAATTGCTATTTGCATAATTAATATTTCACCAAACAGGTAATTTATGCTAGTTACCACGATAAATAAAGTTTGGTATTAGTCTTATTGGTTTCAAACTTGGCGGAATGCAAGATGGTAATAAGACGGAGCCTATTTTGTTGGTATGTGTGTGAATATCCTAATTTCTTATTTGCATAATTAATATCTTACTAATCAAGTAATTTAGGCTAGTTACCACGATAACTAAAGTTTGGTTTCCCGTATCAAAAATAGTAACAGTTTTACCTATTTTAAGCTATAGTAAAGAAAGGCCTATCCTTTATTTTTACCGTCCTAAATACGTTTTTAAACATTCCAGCGGCTCCACATGCAAATAAATTGAGGTGGCGAAACTTGTTTTGAACGACTAATTGTGCAGCAAAGGATTTCCAAGAGACATTTAAAGATGCATTCCATGGCCTATCCCCACTAGCGCCACCACTAGTTGAAAGCGTCTACGTCCACGAGCGCGCACGAGTTATGTAGTTTCAGAAATGGGATATTATAATAGAACTTAGAATTGGTTTTGTTCTGTTGTGCATAGAACACGGAAGCTACATGGGTGGAATTTAGATATGACATGGTCTGTCTCTTATCCACATCTAGATGTGTATAAGAGACAGGTTTTCTCCATTTTTTTTAGAAGTAATTTTGAAAAAAAAAAATAGGAGGATGGGGTCCCGTGTGCTGACTGGGTTCCCCCTTCAATCTACCACTTTTTATTCGAAAGATTTTTTTCTTAATGCTCAATACAGATTTTACAACCTATAACACATTACCTACAATGTACTGTAAATTCTGTGTTAACCTTCAGAGAACTTTATTTTTTAAAATGACCTAATTAGGTATCTTATTGTTTTCGTTTAAATGTGGTTACATTACGCTAGTTTTAAGGTTTACTGTAAGCCAATCAGTTACACTTATTATACATCTTCGTGTGGTTAGCATAAAGAGAACTAGAACGTCGCTCCATTAAGAGTGCCTACCTCCACCCCCCCCCCCCTATCGAC